ATAAATCCTTACAAATGAATCGTGAAATTTTATATAACATAATTTAGATCTGGTGTGCTGCTTCATGATTTCCTTATTGAATATACTTTTCCTACCTTGCTTTATCAACTCTTCTATATCATCATCTGGTAAAATGATTCAATTAAAACAAAAATTAGCTATAGCCGTCAAATCCATCAGTGAACGTTTGTAGAAAGGTGGCGCATTACTGGGACTTGGTCAGGTTGTTTCATGAGGGAGAGGGCGTCAGTTTTTTGGAAATTTGTAAAATGTTCTCTTCCTTGCCACTCTTTTTGACAATTGAGGGCATCACCCTTCCCCTTGTAAGCTGCACCGTTGAAGGGGAAGTGTATAGACTTACCAGATAAATCTGATGTAAAGACCTTTGCCACTGTAAATATAAAGCCAGGAATGTAGTGTAAGAACATTATACTACAATGGTAGTTCAGTTTTTAGGGTTTATTAAGTTCGAGCAGAATTTGGCCAACGTTTCAATTGCCGGTAAAATTCAAACAGATAATTGGCTGGAGAATGTTTAACTAAGCTAAGTTCTTCGGTTGCTTGACATATCAGAAATCCTGCTGTTTAGAATTAGTATTATTTCTTTCGTATAAAGACAAAAAATGGCAATGACAGCAGCATGAATAATTGGAATCGTCTATAAAAGTAATTCTGCTTCTCACTGAACTTTCCAGTACATGATTTACATGATTTAGCAGCCGGCAAACGACGAGCGTGGCTTACTCTCTTGCGTGTTAAGGACTAATTGATACCTCGAAGAAAAAAATAGATCAGATTCTTTGTGAACTGAACCAAAAACATAGAACCTGCAACTGGCAATTTTTGATTAACCTAGCTTTTGACTTATTTGAGAGCAGTATCAACCAAAAACATAAATGTTTGCGCTGCAAGTTTACAATCACTCCCAAAGAAGAACCGTTAACTTACAGATGGCGTCGTGCAAAGAATGAGAAACTAGAAGAAATGAAATATCTGTTAGTCATCATGCATCATGCATTCGGAAAAGAAATGAAATATCTGTTAGTCATCATGCATTCGGAAAAGTAATGAAATATCTGTTAGTCATCATGCATCATGAATTCGGAAGTTCTAATCTCCACACATGCTAAATGTTGGCAGACGAGATTCTACAAAATCAATTTAAGTCTAAAATGTTAAAATGTGTTTTTTTCACTTATAACGATTACTGTCTCATAGGAAAATTAAACATATTTACTTACAGCAGGAGTCAGTTGGGGAAACTAGAAGAAAAAGGAGAAAAATTGTTTTAAATTGTTAAATTGTCAATCTTCAAAGTTTATCCTTATGGCAGAACTGCCGGACATTTTAAAGGTTGGTCATGATGATGTCTTGAAATGCGTGAGTTAAAAGCCTTTAGAGTACTGCTGATTTTCGTGAGTACAAAGTGTTTCAATGTTGTGTCATCAACAGAAAAAGATGGGAGAAATTTGAAAAACTTTCACTTTTCTTCGCAGAATCGGTGTCTAGAGTTTGACATCTTACGTCGATGAGCCAAACCCTGTTAAAAAGATCAACTTTTGCGAATGATATGGCAGTTAAAATGATCAGTTATTACCAACAAACCTGAACGAACAACAACCATGTGTAAGGCCAAAATGGCCAAGAAAAACTTCAAATTCATCATGCTCAATGTTCACTCACAGATCTCGAATGCTGAGATTTCTTGAAATCCAAGGGAAAATGCAAAAGAGCAATTTATTGTTGAAAGTCAACTAATCAAATACGACAATT